TAGTAATTATTCCCCATTCTTATGGTTTTATCCTATGTATTATAATAGGTCATTTTGATCACACTTTTTTCTTTCTTTTCTAAATCTTGCAAGTTGGACTGTTTTCTAGGGCAACGTTCAAGGGATACAAAGATGTTCAAGAACCCAAACCACGCATGAATCTGAGCTGTACCACTATCTGATCCCATCCTCTCGCTGGCATCTTTCTAACCCTTTAACGCACAGCCATAAATTAAGAGCAACCTGAACAGAGGCGACCATAGAGCTCTTTGTGAAAGGGTGGGATGCAGTTTTTAAAGCTGTTTGCTTGTTCTCCAGGCTATTAAAGCACAGGAGCTGGATCAACTGCCACATTTTATCTAGTTAACGACTATTAAAGCTTCCCTTGTGCCAGGAAAGAAAAATCTGCTCTCTGCAATGAACTCTGAAATTATCTTACCTCAATAAAAAGTATCGACCAGGAAGGATGCAGTTATCCTAGTAATTAATAGGTGCCTAAAACAGGAGCAGATTGCTTACACCTGAGGAGGAAGACAGGTGAGAACAGCACACCAAGTGCTTAGGCAGACAGAAATGACGCCTAAATTTTTGACAAAAAATTGACTTTAGTGTCTTCCTTAAAGTTAGATTTCTCATGCAACTGATTCCTGTGTTAATAGGATCAGTCTGTGCTTGTTGCTTGCACTTTTTTGAAGGAAAGTTGCATATAACAGGACTGAAACTTAACAGAAGTTACAGAAACAGAAGAGATGCTGCTCTCTCAAAACGAGGGCAGAGTCAATGCAGTAAAGCATTGCTTATCCAATTATTTTAATCTCAATTAAATTTTTACATTTATGTGAGTTGGTAGAAGATCTGTGTTTTGCTGCATTTAGTTTTCAAAAAGTAACTGAAAGGTAATACATATACCTTAGCATGACATTGGAATTCATTGGCATGGATCTTAAGTCACTGAAAGAGAACAGACTGATGTGTATCACTATGTAACTAAATCTTGATCTGATGGCTGACTTACAAAACTTGCAATATTGTATTTGCATACTGTGAAAAAGTACTATTTTAGTGTATAAAACGTGTACACTGAATACCGTAAAACTTTACCTTGCACCAGGGAAAAATAAGTAAGGCCACATACCTAAAGAGATCTCAAATAAAACCATCAGACAACTAGAGTCAAACCATCTTCCGAAGCCAGTGTTATTTTGGGAAGAGTGGCATGTGTTTGGTTTTGAGTTGTGCTTTTTTTATTTTGTGCAGTTTATTTTGGAGTTTTACTGTTTCTTCAGTTAAGGAGAAAAGAAAAGCAAGTTTCTTCCCTTGGTAGACAAAAGACTCAACAAAAAATTTTTAGAAATACAGACAGAGAGACAGACAGATAGATAAGTACACCCAGCTATAGCTACACGTATATAACATAGATGCATATATATGTCTATGTATATATACACATAAACATTGTGATGGACTGGATCAGAGCCAAGGGTTGTCAAGCCAAGTTCCCTTCTTCTAACAGTGGCTGACAGGTGATGCACAGTTAGGCAAACCCCTGCTTCCCTAGGTGAATATTCTCCATTATTCTGATGTAATGAAAGGATAAGTTTGTTCCACTGGAAATTTCATTCCATAATACCATCCAATTTCAATCAGCTTGGAAATCACACTCATAGTTGTTTTCTTATGTTTAAAAGAAGGGAGGGAAGAAAATGCAATGCAATGTGCCTATTTTACATAACGAGCATGTAAATGTCAGGAGGAAAGACTCTAAGTGTACGAATTAAGTCTGTCTTGTAAGAGCAAAAAAATAGCCTGCTAACTTCTGTCTGTATGCTTCTGCACTAATTAAAAACACAGGATTTCTACCAGGTTGCAACGAGGTGTGACATTAACTGGAGAAAATTACTTCATGTTCAAGAGCAAATGATTTATTTTCCAAATGACAATCTGTGGGCAGGGACACAGAGTTCCAGCTTCCCCAAACCTCTGTGTGTGTCATCTTTCTCATCACAAAGTGCAGAGCATTTTGAAGGTATGGAAAACATAAAATAGGTAACATGCCACCTGCAGAGTATTCTTTGGTGATCTTCACCAAGCACTGAAGCTGATATCTGCCAGAAAGCTGATAAGGCTTCTGAAACTAATCAAAACAAGGACATTATAAACAAGGTCTTTCAGGTCGCACCTTGAAAAACACTACTTCTGAGACAAACAAAGTACCTGAGCAGAAGCAGTGATATGGAGACTTAGCCTTTCCAAGACATCACTTCCCCACCTGATGGCTACAGAGGACCTTAAATGATGAAAGGGAAAAGATTAAACGGAAGTCTATTTCTAATTCAGTTTCTTTAGTAATCAAGTGTAGAAAGCACAAACTGAAGGTAGCACACACCTATCAGAGTATCTTTAAAACAAAGATTATAGAAAGCAGAGCCAAAACTGAAACACAACTACACAACTGTAGCCAGTACAACCCAGAGGGCATAGCATGCTCAAGAACATTTACAGAAACTGAAATGCCTGTTCAGACTGACATAATGTATACAGCAGCATAATGTCTAGAGAATCAAGTTATAACTCTATACGAGAGAATATGTAGCAGTCCTCCGACACAGAAGAGAAAGAAGTCATGATCAGAAGAGGGAGCAGCAAGGGCATCTGCCACACAACACCAGGACTAGAAAAAAAATAAGTTCAAATCCCTTCATCAATTCAACTGTAATTCAAAACCAGAGAATGACAATTTCCTGCAACTAACCACACAGACATATGCTCAATGAAATGTGCATCAGAACACCTCCCGCCTGAGAAAATGTATTCAGGCTCTGGAGGAAGAGAACAGCTTGGTCCTGTCTCTGCCTAGGATGCCTAAACTTGGGTCTGCTGGGCAGGACCAGGTGTGACATGCAATCAGCAGAGGGCTAACACTACCTTTTGCTGCCAAGTTCTGCTCTTCCTTCTTCACTGACATGAATGCTCACAATAGGGTGACAGAGCACTGGAACAGGCTGCCCAGAGAGGTTGTGGAGTCTCCATCTCTGGAGACATTCAAAACCCGCCTGGACGCCTTCCTGTGTAACCTCATCTAGGTGTTCCTGCTCCGGCAGGGGGATTGGACTAGATGATCTTTTGAGGTCCCTTCCAATCCCTAACGTTCTGTGATTCTGTGATTCTGTAATAGTCCACAAGTTATCGCTTGCCAGGTGCTCTTCAGAGCATTCTTTGTGAGAAACAGTCAAAAATGACTAATAATGCCTCCAAGCAGAAGAAGTGAGCTTACTGAATAGAGCTATAAAAATCAGGGAGAATTACAGGAAGTTAAGAAACCAGAATTGCATTTCAGGAAATTCCTATGCATCTACTTTGACACATGAGATGTCCCCAGCAAGTCTGTGTGAGTCAGCACGGGAGAACATTAGCAAAAGCGTATTGTCAGCCAGGGCTCTAGCTAGCAGGATACTAATAGAGGCAGCATTAACATAATCTACATGAGAAAATCCTGGGATCATAGGAGATTGCATCGACAAGGTAGAGTACCAGACCTCTGGAAAAGAACAAGATGCCAATAACACCGTTTCAGAAAAGGTCTGCTTCAAAATTCAGGAAGCAAAGCAAATTAAAATCTTTAGTTTTAATAGAAAAGAAGTACATAAAGCACTAACAGAGATTAGTAACCATTTCTAGGAGGAACAAGATGAGAACAGCAGAGACAAGGAGCAAGTTAATACTGCAAAAAACTTAAGGAAAGACTTTCAAAAGAAGTAATTTAAATTGACAGTTGTGGTGCCAAATAATAATCTGGCATCACACACAAAAAGCCATGGTGCAAACGGCTCCATCCATCCTTAATGACTGTAAAAGTTCTGTGGTAAGAACTCCTTGTACGGACTCATCTGGAACACACCGGAGACATATATATAATGCCAGGCAATGATGAAAAAGCAAATTTGTTTTTGCTACGGACGGTTACATTTTAAAATGCAACCTTTTATAAAAAGGACAGTCCCCTGGAGGCACGACATCTTATCCGTTAAATTCACATGGGCTGAACAAAGCTCATCTACAGAAAATGAATCTGTCATTTCTTCTTAGAAGTCTGACAGGATCCAGTCCAACTTTTGTAGGGAGGACAGAAGATGTCCAGAAGATAGAGTAAAACAAAAAAGAAAGAAAAGCAAAAGGAAAGGCAATCAACCTTTTAAATTATTTCACACCAACTAAGATTTGAAGTGTTACATCCATTCTGTTTAGATCTGTAGTCTTCAACTCAAAGGTCACATTATTATGGATTTTTCTTGCCAAGCACAACAGAAATAGTTTTTCAATAATCTTGAAGGTCTTTTGGGGGAAATCTGTTCTGGGCATTATTCATGAAAGAGATGACATTTTATTTATCTAGTTTCTTTCAAAACTCTTGAGAACAGAACAACAATGATGATGTGTTGCCAAACCCTTCTCAGTTGTTTCTCTCTCTCCTCTCTCTCTCTCTCTCCCTCTCTCACACAGAGTTTCAGACATGGAAATAAGTGTTATTTTTACTACTTAATTTTAAAAAGAGGATTTTAAAATGTAAACAAAATCTGTCAAATTTTATGTGTCTCTAAAATCTACATCTGAAAATCAGAAAGGCAATCCATGACGTTTCCTAGATTTCATGGGAAAGAATTCTTCTTCACAGATAAACAACCCTCTACAAAATTTGCAACATAAACATTATAGCAGCTGTAATGCCATACCAGGATCAGGAGTGGAAAATGCCTAGAAATCCTGTAAGACACCCTAGCTAATGTCTGAGAGGAATTTCAAAATATAATCTTTTTCAAGTTCTATTTTCTTATTCTATTTTAGACATAACTCTACAAATACATAGAGGTAGTATCTTTAACAGCAGCCAGGAGCTTTTTGCTTTGTTTCAAAGTAATCAATTCCTTCTTAACCAAGAAAACATTTATCTGTTCTTAATTCACCATTTGGTACACGTGCAGGTGTCGGGACTGCGCACTTACAGAGCTGGGGCTGGAGTGCCGCCTGACTTTAGGTGATTCCTTCCCTGCAGATGAAGTTTTGAAGTTAATGCAAGCGTTGTTCTCCGAATGAACCCTCTTCACTTGGTTAGTTGGTTTCTCAAATGGATCAAAACTACTCTGTGTCCTCTGAACCCGGACTTTTTTATCTTCAGGAATTGTATCCAGAGGTTTGATCACTGAATCCATTCCCTGACAGTTCCGTGTAGACATCTTTGTGACACATATCTGAAAGGAAAAAACAGCATTCATTGATTCTAACAGGCTTAAAGTCCATGTCAATCCATACATCAGCCAGCACCAAAAAAGGCACTGGATTTCATAAGCATTTGTTTTGTATTTCTACATTAAAATTGCAACCAACTTATGCATTTTACATAGGGATGCATTTTACATAGGGAACGCACTACAGTCGTAACAATAAAAAGCTTATCTTTGTATAGTGTACTAAAAGATCCTGCAAAAGAAAGACAAAAGAGACACAGATAAAATTCATACATTTGTGCTTTCTTGGATAATGTGTTCTTAGCAACAATGCCACTTCACTTCTTTCTCTAATCTAGCCACCGATATCTGCAAGCAGTATTGATTTCCATTTGTTTAAAATTGGATGAGACTAAACTTAAATAAATGATGGCAGTATGCGTGTGCACTTCGGTGCTGGCTTGCCAAAGATCCAATACTGGTGTAGTATTGTATTTTTAAATAATGCTTATACAGTGTTATTATTATCATCACCATATGTCTCAGAAAATAAATCAGTAAATCAATTCCTAGGCACTGAAACGTGATACTGCAGCTCAATGGCACACTAAAGCACAGAAGTTCAATTCTTTGTTACTGTGAAGGATGACTCTGCCAAGCCCTGAAGACTGCAACTTGCTGCTTGAGCCATCAAAGTACACTACTGCTAGTTCAGAAGAACTAAATGAGCAGAACAGCGAGTTTAGATACTCCAGTCATGCACGTTTATGTTTTTACTTTTAATACATTCCAACGTGTATGACCTTTTTTTAAAATTCCACAGTTGGTAGGGAGCTGTATTTGAGGCCTCAGCTTCTGCTGTCACCCGTAAGAGATTACTTTTACTTGGGAAGAAAAGAAACAATTTTAGCTCTCAGGCTACAGGCAAAAGCTATGAAGTGAGATGCAAGCAGACCCAAGAGGCTTCTTAAATCATAAGGTAAATCCAAAGAATCTACAATGTACTTATTTCAAGATATTTGCAAGTATTTAAGGACAGACAGCGTTAATGTGTTGTCAACAGTACTGTTCATGCACATACAATTAAAGCAGCATAATGTCCCGTTCAAGCACCTACAAAGTATTTTTGAAAACTTGGTATCATAAAATAGTTAACACGAAAAAAATATATAAATCTTTACCATTACCATTTAACCAAGACTTTCCCCTTAACTCAAAGTATCTCCAATACAAACTTCTCCAATGAATTATTCTTTGCCTTTTCCCCAAAGGAATTCCACGTCTTGAAATTCAACTTATCTCAATTGTTTATAGAAATACTGGGTGGCTATACCTTGTGGTTTTGATGTTTTGTGGTACTGATGATCCACTGTAACTGTAGATCAAAGATTTCCTTTGTACATTAACAATTTAAAGTACACTTCCTGCACAGTGCCATCTGGCCAAACGATCATACACCAGGTCAACTCTAATGAAGGACATAACTTGCATTACAAACCAGGCTTCACAAGGGTTCACATTTCTTCTCATTAAAGTGGTTTCTCCAAGACTAAAACTTAACCGAGTTTTAACTGAGAAAAGGAACAGTCCCCCTTTACTCTGAATGACAGTTCCCTCTCACGCCAAAATGAAGGCAATTATGTAATTTTGGTCTACTACCTCAGAGAGAAAAGATATACATTACTTCAGAGAAAAAAGATAAAGAGCTGCTGCACAACGAATTTTTAATTAGCTGTCTTGTAAAATTAATTGGCTTTTCCTTAAAACAACTTATATGCACAGACATGCACACACATACTTCCCACTGCCCTCTCCAGATCTGTGTTCTTGTGATGTTTGTTACCAACAAAGATGTTTTAACATAATGTAAACTAAAATTACTATTAAAATTGCAGTGCTTTAATTTTGCTTAATCTACATGGATGCAAATAAATCAGTATTTCTCAGCCTACGAAATCCTATGATCTAGAAAACAGGGGCAGAAGACAGGGAGGGAAGTTTCAAATGCAGTAGTCGTCCTCCTTTCAAATTACCTAAGTTAGACAACTGCAAGAGCTCATGACATACAGGAAGTCAATCTATGCAATTCATCACTCCTTCCTGCCCTTGCTCTATAAATCTATGTAATGCTGTACTTAGAACAGGGAAGCCCAGATACTCATTGAGATGCTCTAAATGTGGTGCTATAAATGGCACTGAAGCCTAAAACTGGTGCTACATGAAGATGTGATCAATGGCACCTTAACTATTACAAGGTTTTAATTAATGTTTCTTTAACAAAAGTCATCATACAAGCAGACATTAAAGTATGTCAACACTTTGAAGTGATTCTTTCCTCTTCAGGAGTTATTGCCATGACTTGGTACTTCTCCCACTACAAACTACATTCAAAGCATAACTTTCAGAAGTATAAACTATATCAGAAATTATTTAGCTTTTAAAAGTGGTGCAATGAAGTCACAGTTATCACTTTCAGAAGAGGTATTTCTGCCAGCAGATCTTACAACTATAGGGAGCAGAGGAATGGGATCTTCGTTTATGCTTTCTCTCTTCTTTACATATTAAAAATATATATATATTTCCTACATGGAAAAGCAGGTAAAACAAAACAATTGCAACAGTACGTATAGTATTCACACCAGAGAACTTTACATGTAGGCTATTCATCCCTCAAGTCTCTGCTTTGGGTCTAAGTCCTGGAAAACCTAAACTAGATTCCAACAGCTAACCTCCCATTGGCAAGTCTTGCTCTTCTCCACGGAGAACAGAGTGGTCCTACACAAACTCATTTTTTGTGTTTGAAGTTATTGTCTGGAAAAGCACTTCCAAAGCAGCACTTGGAAACTGTCCGGGGACTTGGTGCCTTTTTGGAAAAGGATTTAATCTGAAAATAGCAACGACTGCTCCTATCCAGTGAGGTAACAGCTGAGAGACCCTGACCCCAGCCTTGGAGAAAAGACACCTGTCAGCCCAGGTGTCAACCCAACCCGACAGAAGCACCTCCCTGTAAACATCCTGCCTGTTACATTTCTCACACAAGGACCATTAATGTTAAATACACAATTGTATTTCTCCAAGTTGTTTCACACTCTGCTGTCAAACAGTACGCCAATACACCAAGTAGTCACCACAGTAACCACTGGTATCTCTTACATTTTCCACACCCTGATGACTGAAATAAATCCACTTTTTAAATTGGCCCACAATTATTTACTCAGTCTCAACTAAAAAGGTAAGACGAAAAGAGAGATAATGAGACAAAAGTAATTTTGCCACTTAAAACCTACAGCACAAACAGCCACTTTGCAGTCGCCTGAAGAGCTCTTCTCTACTTTTGAAAGAAATAGCAAAGGGAAGATTTATTTAGAAAATCAGAATACTCGTGTCAATTCCAGTATTACTTTAACTATCACAGATTCTTGTGAAGTAAAGCAAAATAAAAAGTAGCCCCACAAAAGTTAGTGCAGTTTGGAATTATAAATTATTTTAGTGTTTCTCTGTGGGATTTTATTTATTTCAAGTAAAAGGAGCCATTACCACACACTCAGAACATTAAAGAAAGGGCACTTCAAAATTCCTAATCTTAGAATCAAAAAAACTAATAACGTAGTTTATACTTTGCAACTTTCTTAGTTGCTGATCAGAATCAGAAGACAATGTGTGACAGACAACAAATCAGCTTGGACCGTGTCTTTTTTCCCCTCCCATCCTACTCAGTCTCACAATCAGTTTGAGAAGATCCCGAGGCTGTTCTGGGATAAGTAGGCTTGCTCATCAACACATCGGAGAGGATCACTGGGCTACAGTTTCCTACAGCCCCCACCCTAACATCACCATATTTGTCATATCTCAAGACAGAATGTCTGCAAATAGCCACATTTTTCCCATAAAGACTGCTGCTGAAGTTAAGAGACTGAAAGTCTCACAAGACGTGTATTTTTGCTCCATGCCTGAAGTCCATAATAAGCCCCATTAAATAAATACAAATCAGTATAACCATTCATGGAATCATTTCTAAATAAAGATGTCTCTTTGAATTAACTTATACCACTTCAAGCAATACTCCTTAATCTGCATTTTGGATTAATGAAAAAAAAATGTTTATCAGATTTAGTTATCATGAAACAGTTTCAATGCAAGTTTTTTTTTCACTTCACCACTGTCAGCAAAATCAACAGCTCCCAAAGAAAGAGGATTGTTAGAATTAAAGGTTGCTGCACTAATTCACTTACTGTTTAAAGTAATATAACATTTAAAGAGTGAGAGTGATCATTTAAAACATGCAAGTAATTTATAGTCCTTATGAATTTTAAAACCAGTCATGAATGTCCCCTGAATTAATGATCTGTTAGGGTACTTAGTAAAGGATAGGCTGTCCCATATCAGCAAAATTTATTCATATGAATAATGATATCCTCAATAACAAAGAACAATCAACTTCAGTATAACAGATCAGACATCCTACCACACAGAAGAAAAAAACCCTAATGGCCTGTACAGTGTAAAGACATACTACTCTGAAGTCCATCATGTCTTTTAGGAAGATGCAGTATATCTGTTTTTTAATTCCTTCATTTAATATCTTACAAAAGTTTAATTTGGTCATCCAGTACCTATGGACTTATGTAAAACATTTAAAAATTGCCATCCATCTACTATTCTCTACCAGTCACTGCCACTGTGTACATCCTAGGAAAAAGCTGGGTAAAGACCAGAGTGAACATCCAAAATTCTTACTGAAAAATCAGAAAAAAACATCTGAATTCCGCCCATTTGTACCATTATCAGAGTGGTATGAAAGGACCCATAGAAACCCATAGCTAGCATCCACCAAGTAGAAATAAGTAAATTACTGAGTGACTTAACCCCTCCAGAATCCCATTTTTCTGGTTGTAATAACTATCCTGCCCCTATCACAAGCACAAACTGGGAGCACTAATTAATTTTGTAGAGCACTTGGGCTTTTTTAAGTGAAACGTTATGAAGATACAGATTATCATTTGTAGAGCCAAAGGCCTCTGGAA